GCAGAGGGAGAGAGAGAAGCAGACTGCGTGCTGAGCAGGGAACCCAATGCGAGGTTCCATCCCAGTACCTTACCATCATGACCTGAGCTGAAGGTAAACGCTTACCCAGCTGAGCCACCCAGACGCCCTTTGGTATGCGTTCTTTAACAGATATGTGACTTGCAAGTATTTTCTCCCAGCCTGTGGCTGGGCCAGGTGAATTCTTCATCCCCCATCCATACTAAGGTAGCTTGAGGATTCCCATGTTTGAGAATTAGGAGACATTCATTCTGTGTTGGGTCTCAGCTCAGCCAAGCAAGAACGTTGCTACTGGCTAATAATGAATTTTTAAGAGTAAATGTTGACATTTTTCTTGTTTATAAGTATAAAATTCACTTATTGTAGACAATTTTTAAAATATTGAAAATTGTAAATAAGGAAATGAGACTGGAATAGGCTTAAAAACTCCAAGCAGAAGGCCAGCTGTCAAGACCGTGTACATGAGAAGCATGAGTGCTTGGGGCTTCCCATATACTACGCTTGGGGCAGCAGGACTATTAGCAGCTTCCTCCACTTTGGGGATGGGGCTCTTAAATCACTCTTATTGTTGCTAAGGATTGTCTCAGAACTATGGTGGGCTGAGGCTGCACTTGTTTTTTCTGGATATAAGTTGGGTGCTGCATCGGCAATGCTTGGTCAGTATCTGGCCTAAGCACTTAATGAATGTTTATAAAATAGAAATACAAAGTAAATGAAGTTCTTGAACGTAGATGCTGTGGAATTAGTAAATATCTTCAGAACCTAGAGCTGAGCAAGACTTGGGAAAGAAGGGATTGATAAAGACAGAATTGGAGTGAATCAAATGTATGTGACTGATACTGTGCACGTGACTGAGAGTGATAGGACATTAAAGTCTAACACAAGTGTGCCACCTGCCAAGGACTCCTTGTCTTGGTGCTTTGTTGATGAAAAGCTTTCAGTTTGGTTGCAAAAGAACTTGGTTTAAAACTCTAGCTCGGTTGTTGAGTAGCCACATAAACTTGGACCAATACTTAATCTCCTTTACTTTGATTCTTTCACTTACACATTGTGAATCCTTAGACATACCTGGAGCGCTGGCTATGAGGTTGTAGGAGATGGAGCACATAAAGCAATTTGGTATAATGACCGACACTCTAGGAGGCCAACACATGTTGGGGGGTTGTAGTCACTCACCTCTCCTTCCTTGTTTCTAGTCTCGGGCAGGACAGCTCAGTCTAGCTGCTGGGGATGTGACCTACCCACACAGCTCTCTGACTGTGGGCGTAGTTCATAGAGGGGAGAGCTTACATTGTTATTGCCAGCCTCACCAGGGTACATTTCTGCACCACTCTTTGTGTTTTTCAGTGATAGGAGAAAATCTCCTGGGAGAAAGAGAATTGCATTATGTATCCTAGTGTCCAGGACATAGTCTTTTCTTGCGTGGAGTGATTTCTGTAAATCTGTGTGAGTGCACTGACTTTCTTGGTGCCTCGTGGAATGACTCATTAGCGTCAGCAGCAGTATTGGCTACACAAGGGGATCCCAAGACCTGTAAAGTTGGAAACTTGTTCTCACGGAGAAACATCTTGAATAAGTAGTTAGGGTGGAGGCCAGGTTGGTGGAGTGATGGGTGCGAGGGTGACTGGTATTTTTGTAACAATTTTAGAGTTCTTTCAGATGGATATTTGTAGTGAGCTATTCTTTGCTGCCATTCTGAGTTCTTTCATTCTGTCTTGACTTCTTTTCTCTTACTCCTAATCTATTTCTTCCATGTCTGGAAATTGCTTGACTCATGGAACCCAAGTTGTCCCTCCTTTTCTAGTGTTTATAATGTTCTAAAGGACGGGACTGTAATATTATTCATTGCCAATCAGTCATACTAGCAACAAACTGATGGAGCCTGTGTATAGTTTAAATTTGATGTTTTAGGTCATGGAAAGCTTAAATCCTTCACTTAATTAAGTTATAAGTTCTGTACAAAACACTTGAATTAAAAAGAGAAACCAAGAGTCAGACGTTTAACTGATTGAGCCATCCGGGTGCCTCTTGGGCTGGCTTTTATAACAACAGATTTCAATTTTGGGGGCTTGAGACTGACTTATCAGAGCCCTTTTTGTAATTTCCATGTTCGTTCCATTTCTGTTTTGTGGCCAGACATGAAAAAGTATTGGAGGGGCGCCTGCATAGCTCAGTCGGTTAAATATCTACCTTTAACTCGGGTCGTGATCCCACGGTCCTGGAATCGAGCCCCGCACTGGGCTCCCTGCTCAGCAGAGAGCCTGCTTCTCCCTCTGCCTGCTGTTCCCCCTGGAACTCTCTCTCTCTCTCTGTCAAATAGATAAATAAACCTTAAAAAAAAGTATTGGAAATTTGAATCCTTCTATTAGAAGGCTTTTCTTTATATGCTAGAACAGGAACCAGTTTTGAAAGGGCTTCTCTTTCTCTGTGTTTCACAAAGCTCCTGTGTAGCACCCTGATGGCACATGACACAGTGAACTGAGCAAGCCACATGGCCGCATCTGCCTCCAAGGAGGAAAGAACACTGCAGTCCTGTGTCCCCCTAAGCCAGAGAGCCAGTGAACAACCCTAATGATCTCGTGGTTCTCCTTTGTGGTCATCACATACAGTTCTCCTCATTGTAGGCAAAATAACTCACCCCTCCCCAAGCGCAGTCATCTAAACTGCTCCATTCAGCCACGGTATCACACTCAAAGTCCAGTGTCTCTCCATCAGGCCCAGGTGTGCCATCTCTTGGTCTGGAGGCTTCGTGAATTAAAATGACCCACGCCCCGGCCCCTCCCACGCTGGTGGAAGTGGGAAACACACTGCCCAGACCTCTCTCACTCAGAAAGGGAAGGAATGGGAGATACACGATAGTCATGGAATGGTAGCAATTCTGAAATAGAACTGAGCGATCAGGCTTTTGGGTGGGCCCCCACCTTGGGTTGGAGAATGCTTATTAATTATGCCCAGATTCTGCTTCCTGGGAGAGGACCCCAGTCCTTGTTCTCCATGCCCATTGGCTCCAGCCTCTTGGAGTTTCCTCCTTTTCTGCTAACTTCCTTGGCCACTAGAGAATGGGCCCTCACTGGGGTCTGAGCAGTTTTCCCTGGCAACTTTCTGTCTCTAGGGCTGTTCTAAATATCCACTAGTCATAGTCCTCCTTTAACACACATACACATATACATATTTATTTCAGAACAGAGGGAGAGGGAAAGAGAGAGAGAATCTGAAGCACTCTAGTGAGAGCCCAGTGGAGGGCTCGATCCCATGACCCTGAGATCATGACCTGAGCCAGCTGCTTAACTGACCAAGCCACCCAGCTGCTCTGGTCTTGTTTTAAAGCCAGACCTACAATTTTGGCTAGACATGTCTCAGATTTGCTACATCCCTCACTGCATTCACCCTGCAGGTGCTTCTTCCCTCCTTCTTTATTTGAGGGTAGCTTTTCTCTGCTAGGCTTCAGCTGAAGACCTACCCTCTTCGTCCATTCCTGAACCATTTTATCCCAAGTAAAGGAATTGACTACGTGCCACATGGATCCATGCTGAGGTTTTAATATCAGGTGTAATGGTTGTATACTTGATTTGATGCTTAATCAATTGTTGTTCCTTCAGTGGCTTTCTTCCTCTTATTTTCAACTGCTTGAGGTTGAGAAGTTGGTTGCCTTTTCCAGTCTTTCAAGTCTTTAAATCTGAGCTCTGTTTTTATAAATTCCTGCCTGTAAGCCAACCAGTTCTCTTCTAATACCATTTCACTCTCCCACAGGCTTCTCTTCATCTTACTCAATTATTCTTCACATCTCACTCTCTGTCTTTTCATCTTTTGCACTTGCTTTTGCATCTAATCTCATTTTTCACCAGGTCCTTATGGGCTGTGTCTCCTTGTCCTCTATGGAGGATGCCAAATTATTTCCAGACCTTTCTTCTGGACCCATCACTGTATCTTATAAGTGTTTTCTTTGAGGATTTCAGAGGCTGTTCCTTTTCCTTTACTGAACAATTTTCTTGATCACATGCCTTGTGTTATTCTTCTCCAGTTGTTATTCCTTTAAAAGTAAAATCGGCCAAGTATGTTTATCAACACATAAGCTCCATCACTGTCCATTCAGGTCCACGGCTCAGGGCAGGTCAACCTCTGCAAACCTCAGTACAGTTCTCCATTTCCAGAAGGCTTTGTTCAGATAAAATCTTTATTTACCCTCCCTACTTGGTTTTCTGGTGTGGGTGGAATATATGAAATTAAAATGCGGAGCACTTGCTGCCACCAAGACTTACATTGCTTTGCTTATAGGGACTGTGCTCAGAATGTGACGTATGCTCTCAGGTTCCCCCCAACTCCCTTCCCAGTTGTTTTCTAGGAGTTGTTGTCCTCCTTGAATGTACGAAGATGGGAGGAGAAAGATAAATATGGTGTGTGGGTGTGTGTTGGGGGACAAAATCTTACCAACACAAAGATCTGCATTGATGGGGATTTGAAGTTGCAATGGATACAGTCAGCCCGCGAGTGTCTGAATCAGGTAACTGACTATGGCGTACGTTAGAAGTGCCTTCCTTTCTTTTTTTCAGGTGGCCTCAGTTTCATGATGCTTAAACTGATGGTGGCATGACAAGAAACCTGGACAAGTTTTTGTTTTGTTTTGTTTTTCCTTTCCTCAGTCCGGTGTCTGTGTTATAGCTAGTGAGATCTTTCCAGATTCTGGTGTTATCTGTTGATTTTAGTTTCATGTGTATAATTTCTTGTGTTATTTCCTGCCTGTTCAGAAATTGATAGAGGTTGTATGGTTCAAAAGGCACACATGCTTGTGAACTGGAAGTCTTTGCCCCTTAATTTCTGGGTTTGTCTTCTGACACCTGGAGGGGGCTTATGTTCTTAAGTCTGGTAATAGAATTCCTAAAAGTAATTATAGTGTTATCTCTGTGTTTGGCTTTTTACTAAAAAGGGTAAGACTTTTTTATATTTTCCTCTGAACTTGACATTATATAGTGTTTCTGTTTCAGATAGCTGCAATGTTTCCCTTCTTCAGAAAATCTCCAGAATCTAAAAAGCCTTCCACACCAGAGACAGAAGCAGATGGATTTGTCCTTTTAGGTGAGTCTTTTTAAGAAATAATCATAATTGGCTGAAGAATTTTTCCTTTAAAAGATTACTTGAAAATTATGTGATCGATTTTTTAAATTAGTTCCTTCTAATTCTAGAATTCATTTATGTATATGAAATCTATAAAAATAAAGGTCATCAATCACTTAGAATATTGTCATCAAGTCATACACTTCTTATATATAACTTTGGCTGTATCCTTCAAATTAAATGTGAAAAATCATCCCTTTTTTTTCTACATGATAGGCTGGTCAACCTTTTTAATTGTGAAAAACCAGAAGTCTTGAAGGATCCTTGGTAGATTCAAGTTCTGTTTTATAAATAGCACAAAACCTTGCTTCTTAAATTAGCATCTGAAATTAAATTAGACATCCAATAAATAATTTACTGGATAAAGTATACTTTTTAAATATGTTAAATTGTGTCTCCTATATGTTTGTAAAGACTGGTTTATTTTCTGTTATAAAACTGATACCTGCACTTATTATGATTTTGGTGGCTTAAAAAAAAAAAGTTCTTTCAAACAAATACTATGCTCTTTCCAAAGGGAATTCTGAAAAAAGCATTTCCTTCATGTCACTGTGTCTTTCCCCCTGAGGAGGAGATTTGCAGTCTTTGTATAGTTCTTCCCAGAAATTCTCTCCCCAGAGGGTGGTGAGCCAAAACCCAATGTTCCCACGTAGCAGGCATCCTCTTCCACTCTGGACTTCCTCCTGCCAAATTCAGCTCCTTCCTCGAGAAGTTGTGCATGAATTCATAGGGTATTTGCTCCCTGGGATGTTTCTCAGGTGTCTCCCTTTCCAGATTCTAGTTTCCTAGCTCTTAACAGTATTTATCTTGGCCCTGTCAGACCAGAGTCCCCTTGCATTGGCAAGTGCTCTGTATGTCTTTGAGAAGTGGAGGATGGTTCCTTGGATTTAAGGGTCATCCTGAATTTTCAGATTAGGCCCTCTCAGAGCCAGGGTTCCTGCTGTGCCTCTTTCCCCATACTTTTAGAAGTGTAGGTGGGTGGGTCTCTGCCTCTTCAGCCCTTCTCTTTAGGATCTGGTCTCTCACAGAAATGACACAAAGGTTTTGCCCATCTGGCCCTCTTCCATTGCTAGGCCTTAATCTCTGGGAGACCAGATTAGAGTTTTTCTTGTGGCTAAATATTACCTTAGACTATCCCATCTTTACCACAGTCGAGTTCTGGCAGGCCAGAATACACAGGGAATACAAAGGGAATACACTTTCCCTTCTGGCACTTTCTCTGAATCTGCCTCATATTGTCCTGGGACGGGGCAATAGCTCTGGTGGTCAGAGTACTTTTCTCTCTGCCCAGATCTCCTCCACCTGAGGCAAAATAGTGAGGCATTGTTTGACCGAGGTCAGTGGTTTTTCCGGGGAACTTTCTGATAGGTATAAACTGGGGTGCCATGCACACACCTATTTATCTGGCCCTTCTTACCACGTCAGGAGTTTGTGCCATGGCTTCCTGGTCAGAACTGGCTCCGTCAGTCCCAACTTCTGTTCCTTGAAATCTGCCAGCATTGCTTCCCTCTTACCTCCTGAATTAGCTTCACTACTGAACCTCAAGGATGCTTCTGGTCTCTTCTTTAGGCCTTTCACAAGAAATGTATCTCTCAAAATTTGCTTCAACAAAGCCTGATGTTCCTAACTCAGTTCTTTGTTTTCCTGTAGTCTGAACACATATGTGGAGAACATCGCTACTTTCTGTTGTTTCATGATTTGAAATCAACATTATTATTTTTGTAACCAAATAGCCATCTAAAGGCTGTGAGAGACGCGCGCAGACATCTTGGCGAGCACATGCAGCTTCTAATGCTGGGCCTCGGCAACTCTTTCTGCCTCTTCTCCGCTCTCTGGCTCTCCGGCCAGCGCTGGGCAGCACTTTAGGGCTAAGTTTTAACCACAGGCAAAAACACTCCAGCTGCTGCTCCTTCTGAAGTCTCCAGTGTCTGGTGGCTTGAAACATGTAGATGCTTCACTTTAGCCAGCTAGACCCAATAGGGGCACAGTTTCCAGGCGATTCTACCTCAGTGGGTGAAACTTATTTGCTGTGGACCCTTCCTCTTCTAGAAAAGACTCTGGTTTAAGACGCTGTCTTTAGCTGAGCCTCAGAAGATACAGAAACTTGCAGATTTGCTAATTCACGAGGAAACTTCTAGCACTTCATGACTCTGATCTGCTCTCATGTTCCAGCTGTGCCATCTGATATACCTAAGCTCTAAGGGTACATGTTCCCGAAAGCCAGCGTGCTGTACTTTAAGGGCATTTTCCCAGGACCGTCTCGGATGGAGTCGGGTAGGTTCTGTCCCTGCACGGTACTTCCCCCGCAGCAACCATGGTGACACTTCTGTCGTCGTTCTACCACAGTGATATAATTTGAAATGCAGCTGGTGGTACTCCCTCTTTCAGATGACCCAAGCCACACAAGTCCCATAGATGTCTGCTGAGACTTTCTCGTCCTTCTGTTTCCATGAGTGTTGATGCTTGTCTCTGTTTAGCCCTATTTCCCTCCAGGTACAAAGCTTTACCCCTTCACCACTTTCCGTGAAAAATCTTTGCATCTACCTACTGTTCTGTGAGCTTAGTTACTCTCCTGAAGTTGTGGTGGTATCAGCCAGCATCAGCTCTCTCTTCCTGGGTCTTCTTTCTCTTCTCATTGATCACACCACCTCCCTTCTTTCTCAGGAACACCTCAGAGGCACTGCGGGGAAGTGCAGATAAGAATCCTGACTCGAGCCAGACCTGTTGGCTCAGTACCCTGGCTCTCCAACTTGCCAGAGTCTCTGTTTTAAGGGAGGCAGAACTTCTCACTCCTCCTAAGGTCTCTGCCTGGGCCTAGGAAATACATACACATAGGACGCAATGACAGGAGGGAAGCATGCAGATTTTTCCATGTACATGGGAGCTCCCCCCCTCAAGGAAAATGAAGACCAAAGAAGTGGCAAAACCTATGTGCTTATATACCAGGTTGAACAAAGAGGCCCTTATGGAAAAGTAAAGAATGTGGGGAGACTAAAGGAAGATAAGAGTTATTTTAACAGGGTCTGTTTGTACAGAGTTCTCTTGGCCTCAGTTCTCCACCTCTGCTGATAGGAGTATTTCTTTCCTCCTGGCATCTTCTCTAGGGGACTTTATCTCCTGCTTTTAGGAAGGAAAGGGAAGGCCAGAAAGCCCTTCTTACACCTGCTGTTTTTCAAGAGCCTTCGGCTCAGAACAATCCTTATGCCAGAGTGGCATATTTTGGAATAGTGTATATGCCACCCCTCACCGTTTGGGGCAAGTTACATAACCTCCAGGGGTGGGAGGGCATTTAGAAAATGAGCACAAAAATAATACCAACCCCATAGGGTTATGGAGAGGATTAAGTGGGTTACCATGTGTAAAGTGCTTAGAACAGCCCTGTCAATGAAATGGTAGTATTACGTCCAAGTACAGATGAGAACTTAACTTCTCTGCGTTCCTCCAGCTAATGTGTAGCCAATGTGGAAGGAGTCCAGGCAATCTGATTTTGGAGCCTAATCCTCTTAACCACTAAGCTACCCATCTTTTTTTTTTTTTAAATGTCATAATATCATTTTAAATTTTAAGACATCAGTGACATTTTAAGCTCTTCAAAAAAAATTTTACATTGTGTTCCTTACTATTTCAAAGAGAAAGTGTTGTGTTTCTTTGGTTTCATTTTTAAATAAAAGTGTTGGTTGTTCATAAAGTTGGGCTATGATTTTGGCTACCTTAAACCTTTCAGTATGTAATATGTAATGTATAATAGTCTAAATATTTTTAACTATGTCAGACAACAGTAATCTTAATGAGGTTGAGGTTGGAAGATAGTATACATTATTTAGTTAGTAAAAAAAATGCACCAACAGTTAGGGACTTAATTGATTTGACTTGTAAAAGTCAGGACAGATTATTAGGCATATAATAAGCTGTCTTTAAAAATGGTTTTTAAAGGGGCGCCTGGGTGGGTCAGTGGTTGAGGCCTCTGCCTTCAGCTCAGGTCATGATCTCAGGGTCCTGGGATCGAGTCCCGCATCGGGCTCTCTGCTCAGCGGGGAGCCTGCCTCCTCCTCTCTCTCTGCCTGCCTCTCTGCCTACTCGTGATCTGTCTGTCAAATTAAAAAAAAAAAAAAAAATGGTTTTTAAAGTGGTAACCTCTTTTTTTAAAGCTGACTTGTTCTGCTAAGTTGTTCTTTTTTATCATGTGATAACATACTGACAAATGTTAATACCCACTTTAGTCTCAGTGCATACTGTGTAAAATATTTGGGAAAATGACAAATAGGCCAAATGGTAGATATGAAATGCTCTTATTAACATGCCCCATACTTGCACACATATATTTTGGTCATCATATATCCACATAACTTTCTTTGTCCTCATGTGCAATAGATACATTGCAGGAAAATAAATGTATATAATGGGTTTTGTTGTATTTTGGAAGTGATACAACTAAATAAAGACTTAGAAACACAATTATATTTATGGTAACAACTTCTTCTTGATATGGATTCTACAGAATTTGTGAGATTATCATTGTATGTTTCTAAAATGGTCAGTAAATTATGTTGTGAAAGGTATGAATTATCTCTTTTTTCCCACTCCAGAGTACCTTTTACTCTAGGCAATCCTTCCTGCTTATTTTAACACAAAGAGGTTTTAGGTCCCAAAGATTAGATGGCATTGTTGAGTTGCTGAAGTCAACATCCCGCGACTTGAAACTCAGGGTTCAGGCACAGCCTAGGTACTTTGATGATAATAGGAATAGCTGGGATGTTGGTATACAATTAGCTCACTTTTGGACAGATGGCTTTTTCCCTGTTAAGGTTTCCAAAGCTTTCAGCCTTTGTGAAATGTCGAGCATGCTGAATAAGGATGGGGGGTGGGGCTTGTAGAAAAACATCCTTTCCCTTGTAACCAGTTCCCATTCACATAAGAAGGTAATAGCTATTCCTTCATTCAGTAGTGAAGTTGAAGTAATC